CACTCCTGTATGTGGACTCATCGTTATTGTTGATCAGCCCTTTAATAGTGGTGTCATCTGTAAACTTAATGATGTGGTAGCTGCTGTAAGTGGCTGTACAGTCATAGGTGAACAAGGAGTATAGCCTAGGACTGAGACAGCAGGCTTGTGGAGCTCTAGTGTTTAGGATCACTGTAGAGGAGATATTGCTGCCAATTTTCACCACCTGAGGTCTGTCCATCAGGAAATCCAATATCCATTTGCAGATGGAGTTGCATAAGGCCAGATTCCTGAGTTTTTGGACCAGGACCATATCCAGAAGAGAGGTACTTTAGCAGAGGACATACTCCAGATTTTTGTGGTCTGTGAAGATGCAGACAAGATCTGTGTCTCACTTAAGAAGCTCCCTCCATTCTTCCAGGGCCATCTTCACTGCTAGATGTTCATGGTGTACCACATCATAATTGTGCTCAGTCAGGCACAACTTCCAGGAAAAGAAATAATAGGGGTGAAGTGCGAGTGGTGTTCTCACTCATTGGGACAGGACCACACCCACTCCCACATCTGAAGCATCTCCCTTTGACTTCAAAGGGAGAAGTGGGACCTGGATGGAGAACTGGAACCGAAGTGACTTATGGCTTCAAATCCTTGAAGACTCTCTTCATCCAGAGATGAGGAGGGTCCAGAGGTTCTCCACAATATATTCCTTCAGAGCTCTGGTCTCCAGCAATGAGAGGATGAACTGGAGGCCTCTGGATGGTGTGGTGCTAGGTAGAAGATATATAGGGCTGTCATATTTCCAGTGCCGTGGGAGCATTTATGACTCTTTCTCGCTCAATATGTCCACTATATTGTGATGGGCCTGAGGAAGGTCGTCAAGACTGAGATCCATTGCATCAGGCAGAAATTGCAATGGGAAACAGACACTCCAACAGGTAGAACCCCAGGCCAATCCAAGTGATGGTTAAGGGCCTGGAGCCACTGGAACCCAAGAATCATTGGGCAGCACATTGAAGGAACACACAGGAATTTGAGAGTTTCACTGTGGAGTGCCCCTACAGTCAGGGTCAGGGTTGTGGTCTTTTCCAGAATCTGGCCTGAGCCTTGTGGGCTCTCATTAAGATGCCGTGCTACCAGAACCTGTTCACAGGAAACCAGGGGAATGTTTAAATACTGAATGGTCTTCAGGTTGATGAAATTCCCGCACCGGAGTTGACGAAGCTGTGGCTGGTCAACCCACAGGACAGTGTGGTGAAGAGAGTAAGTCGTTGCAGGAAGAGAGGAGTTGCTGCTCCACTTGATATGCTCTCCTTATTGCTTAACAAGCAGGGATGTCTTCTGGGGTGCTCCAGGCAGGTTATCTGTGTGTGCCAGTGTACGCCACAGTAGCACAAAAGCAATCTCTCGGTCTTGCCTGACGTTCTTTTCGGGTGATTTGTATGATGCCCACGCTTATGCTCTTCCTCTGTTTTCCCTGGTAAAATGATATCTGCAAGTCAGGAGGTCGCATGTGTGAGAGGCAGGAACCAAGGGGAATGTTGTGCGGTGCATACACAGGTCCTTGATTTCTTTCTTGGTAGTGTTCCCTTGTTTTGATCTGGATAGCTTGCGTGGTGACGTCATTCATTGTTATCAGGAGGTCCCTGCCAGTTGTCTTATCCTTGAGCTCTTCAGAGCACAGAGCTTTTTCACTTCATCCACTCTTGATTGCCAGTATTCTGATTCTGATGACTTAGGTGTGAACTGGTGTTGATCCCTCTTCCATATTGTATCAAGAATTCCTTGCAGCCATCAGGATCCTTGGAATACAGGATCTGGGATTCCTTGTGGGCACCAGTTATGAAGAGGATGGAAGAACCTGGGGAGGGATGGTACCTGGGATATCAGGAGCCTGGAGAGATGTTTGATGAACAGTGGCAGCCTGCATCATTTCCTGTATTTGGCCACGGTGGTCTTGCAGGGCTGCTCTTATCTTGGTTGCAATGTCCTGTTGAAGCTGCAAAACCACCTCTGCAAGACCAGAACCTGGTGCAGGTCTCCAAGCCCCACTAAATTCCAATCTATTGGCTCTGACATTCTGTAATGCCACAGTTGGACTGACAGGTGGAGCTGTGATGGTGGCTGGAAGCTTGGAGAATAAAGGCAGACAGTAGAGCCTGTTGGAGTGTGGATGTCAGAACAGGAATAACACTGACAAATACAAGTAACTGGATGCCTACAGAAAAGTGGCATTTTGGAGAAATGGTATTTCACGAGTACAGATTCTTTAAGCATCCAGGGATTTGCACTAGTCCTAGGTTCTCAATGGCAGAGCACAGAATTAGAGTTGTTTCAGGCTTAATTATGGTGATTAATTGGGGGGACGATTGGGTCTCTGATTGAAAGAGAGACATACAGACAGGTGACCCTTCATGGCCCTTCTTACCTGGCCTTCATGGGCTAACCTGTGGCAACCACAGACTGGGAGCCTCTAACAGTACTCTATTCCTTGTATCACAAGGTAAACTGATGCTATTACTACTTTTACTATTACCAATAAAGAAATTATTTAAAGGATTCTTGAGGAGTATAACTATACATATTTGAGAGGCACTAAAAACACAGAATATACTATTGGTTTCACTTCTCATTTGTTTCATTTCTAATGTCACTAATCATATGTTTATTTATTTCACATGGTTCTACATTATACGTACATAAGATATAAGACACATTAAGTGTGACCTTAAAAGCATTTGTATCCTTCATTATGTTTGAAACTAAATATGCTATGTAAGTGGGTGTCACAGTGGCACACAGGGGAATTGGTTAAATTCCCAGGCTCCTATTTGCATCGAGTATGTCTGTTCTCACCATGTTTTGCATAGGTTTCTTCTGGGTGCTTCTTCCACAAAGTCCAAAGACATACTGGTAGGTTAATTGCCTTCTGTAAAACTTGAATATGGTGTGACTGTGTGCATGTCTGTGTGTGCTCTGCAATGGATTGGCATCACTTTCAGTGTGTAATCTGTCTTGTTACTGTTGCTTGCTAAAATAAACTCCAGCCCCCTCATGACCCTGTATTGGATAAAGCAGCTAGAAAACAGATGGATAGAAGGATGGATGAATTGATATAGGGTAATTTGCTCTTGCTCTGAATACAAAACAATAAAAGTTATTTATGATGTGGACTGGCAACTGAAAGACATGGCTCTCCCTTAGAAAAGAAAACACAACAAAGAGACACAGTATTGGTTACAAAAGAAAAGTTTACACTACAAATGTAATTTATGTTACGGGTTTTTATTTTTCCACAACAAATGTCTGTTACAAACTCATTTGAGTTAGCCCGAAAACATACTGTAGTTTATACAGTAGCTTTCATAAATTTCCATTCCAAAGTGCCTTAACAAACATTTGTTTTCACAAACTTGTAAAATTGAAATATACATGCTCCCAGTGTTTATACTAACTAGTTTAGCCATTAATTCTACAGAGAAATTTTAAGAAAAATTCTCAAAAAGCATATAGTTTATATATACCATACAGTATATAGAAAATCACAGTGATTCCTTGGCAATCTATTTTGTGAGACTGTATTATGAACGTGCAGTTATGCCTTAAAAAATATTAAAACAATGATTTGTACATCATATTTTACATTATCTTCAGTCATTTCTCAGTTTGACAGTACTAAATTATAAATAAAATCAAAAGAATCATTTGAAATCCCATCCCTGATGCCTGTGTATGTCTGCACGTGCACTTTTTAAGCATTCCATTCTGGCTCTGGCATTCTAGGTGATCGGCAAGATAAGCATATACTCTTCTAAAAATATATTTTATTGAGTGCAGATATTAAACGTATTGTAGACTATGTACTGCAAGTGTGCACATTTCTTTCTGGACTTCAAGGTCTTTCTAATAAAAAGTGCCAATGCAGTCAAAAATTCTGCTTAGTGTGCAAAGCTCCACTTCTAGAATGTATGAGATTAAACACTTTATACTTACAAGTTGGCTTCTCACCAGATATGATATTTGACTAATAAGAGGTGCAATGATTGTTGCCAACAAAGGCAGTAAATTGAGAATGAGGTATATGTCAAGGCTGAGTTCTGTAAAGAAGGAAAAACAATTGCAAAATTAAGTGATTAGGTGGTGTAATAAAGATTATATTAGTAATTAGTGAATCTGGACACTAATATTTGATACTAACAATAAATAATGTGTCTGGATTCCATTTTGTGAGCATGTACTATATATCATTTCTTCAAATATGTTGAGCATTTTAAGTTCAATACCAATAAAAGTTATCTACTAACAATTCTCAGTTAAATAGTATGTTACAAACACATTTTAAAGAGGAAATGTCTGGACTTTTAATGTTATTACACAAGTATACTCACAGGATATAACTGTTTAAAATACGGTAACACTTCATTAATAATACTTCAAACATATATTGATACTTTTAGGGCAGGCTGAGGGCAGGTAAAAGGGCTGTCATTGAGTTGACATTGTTTGGTCTATTCCTGAGTTACTATAGGAAATGCAGCTCACAAATAAGAAGGCTTAATGCCAGCAAGAAACCTGAATGAAGACAGGTTCTGAAGAATGTCCTCAATCAAACACTATTGTCACCGTCCCCCTAAGACTTCTGCTGTTTTTTTATTTTAAAAATGTATTTTAAAAACTTGCTCTTTTATGCAGAAGCTCACTGAGGTGGGCTGAAACAGCTTTTCTGCCTTTTATGAATTATCAACATGGTATCCAAGAACTCCCTGATTGCAATAATAGAACATCATGACACATACTGTAATACTGCACAGAAACAGAAAAATCGACCCTACTTTATATACATAGCTTATAGTGATGGGTACTTCTGATGCCTCTGTCAAATCATCTTCATGCAAATGCAACATACATTAGTTCACATTAAATATTAAATTGTTTCTAACACAGCACCCAGAATACAGATGTTCTGAAGTCCCCCAAAAACCTGAATATTCTAAATAACAGCGCTAAGTTGAGGTAATGTTGTTCCATCTACACCAGGCTCCTGCAGTGATCTGGACAATCCGCACCTGCCACACCATTGCTTTCACGCAGGGCAGATTCCTCAGGCATTCCCAGCTAAGCTTTGGAAGTCTACCTAGTGAATCCTATTTAATCCTTTGCTGAATTATTAAGACAGATTGCAATGGTCCTATGTGTTTTTGGACATATATTTGGGTTACAGAAATCCCCTTTGGCTATATGGCTTTTCAGCAGCAACAGAACAGAAGGCTTTTATTTATTTTTTCTTGGTTTTACTACTTTTCTTTTTCATCTCTTTGCGTTTTTATGTTGCTTTAGTCACGTTTTTTGGGTTATATAGCACCAGGCGTCCAAGACAGTGCGGGATATGGCCCGATGTCCCTTCTTTACTTCATGTGAAATACTTGCAGTTTGTAGAGTCAATGTAACAGTATGAGGTGCACCTTAGTTGTCCATAAGACCTGGAAAACAATAGAATAATTCTGATCAGTATGAATAAAGATATGTCTTAAATATCATGCAGAAATAATTTATCATTCAAGACAATCTAAACATCATATGAGATATCTGGAACTACTGTTATTGAACAGTTATATTATTATTATTATTATTCAGAATAATACAATTTATAAAGAAATTCAAAGCACAGATGCATAATACAAATAACAGAAATAAAAAGGAAAACAAAGTACAATAAATTAACCCAATAAAATCAAGAGTAAAATTTAATTACACTTTAAAAAGTCCCCAATAATATATTTTGAGTTATCACTACTAATGCATGTCTTGGCTTCATTTACTTTTTCAAACTTCTCTCTGTCAGAGGTACTGTACACAACACTAGAAGCAGACGTATTTCACCAGGGTACTCTGCAGGAACTAGACTGTGCAGAGGTATTTCTGTTAAGCATTCAATACAACAAAGAAAAATAACAACAACCACAATAATAATGCATTTGTATGCATTAAAAAATGTAATGATAGTACGGAGCCTGGTCTGTGGAAGAATAAGGTCTTAATCAACAGTTCTCAAATTGATTGTTGTACTGTAATCATGCAGTAATTCCTTAACTAACCATAGCCAGACTCCTTCGGTGCCTTATACTGTATGTAAGTAGGAGATGCTTAAAGTCCACTGAATTTCTCAGGGATATACAGGATGTACATAAAATAATTGAAATAACAATACCATACCCTGGAAGATAGGATTTGCATGTCTGATAACCAAAGTCCTTTCCATCACATTCTTCCACTCCTTCATACCGGTAACCATCTCCACAGTATGCATGTTTGCATTCTTCAATACAATAAATAAAAATGTTGACAAAGTATATGAAAATTATTAGCAATGTTTAGAATAAGAACCTCTGACGTTGCATACTGTAGTTCTAAATACTGAAGCTGTCATTTTGAAAATATACACTAGAAGTCAGATAGTATAGTATGTCTTGTATTAATTAAATACAGTGCCATCGTAAAGAAATTAGCCCCCATTGATTATTTCTCATTCTGCTGTGTTGCAAATTCAAATCAAAGCATATTTAAATTAGATTTTTTCCCCTCCTGTAGAAGTAATTATCTATAATGTTAAAATGAAATAAAGTATTTTGATGTCTTCAGAATTATATTAAAAATAAAAATCTGAAAATTACTTAATCAATAAGTATTCACCCCCTTTGTTTTAACAACCTAATTGGATGAGGTATTCAATTATCTTGAGAGATCACACTAAATACGTTAACAGGGTACACCCTGTGTTCATTTCGAATCCACCTGTGTTTATTTGCTTGATTGCACAATAAATATCACTGACTTTGTGAGGTCTCACATCTAAAACAGTAGATCAGATAAGCTACCTGTGGAATTTTGATAAGAAGTTGTTAGGAGGAAAAAAGCTGGAGAAAGTTAACACCATGAAGTCCATTGTAACAAAATGGGAAAAACATGGCACAACCAAAGATCAGGCCGTCCTACCAAATTGAGCAACAGGACAAGAAGAGCAATTCTCAAAGAAGTGACCAAGAGGCCAGCTACTCTACAACACTGACAGAGTCAGCTGAAATGGGAGAAACTGTCCAGACATCAACAATCTCTTCAGCACTTCACAGATTTTGCCTCTTTGGGAGAGTGGATAGAAGGAAGCCAGTTCTGAGAAAGGCCAACATTAAGTCGCGCCTGGGGTTTTCTAGAAGCCATGTGACAAAACCTGAAACCTTTTGGAAGAAAGTTTTGTGGTCTGATGATACTAAAGTTGAGCTATTTGACCTTAAAGCAAAGCGCTATGTTTTTCACACAAACTAAGTACAGCCCAACACCCAGATTTGAATCCAATTGAAAATTAAACATTTGTGGTATGACCTGAAAATTGAGGTCCACTGATGCTCTCCATCTAATTTGGCAGAGTTGGAGCAAATTTGCATTGAAGAATGAGCAAATATTCCACAATCTAAATGTGCAAAGCTCATACAGACATACCCAAGAAGACTCATGGCTGTAATTGCTGCTAAAGGACTAGGTACAAAGTATCGACAAGGCGGGGTGAATACTTTTGTAAATGAGAAATGTAAGTCTTTCATTCTGGAGAAACGAACGTTTTGATTTTTTCGATTTAATTTTAGCCTTGGACGTGGAGTTGCCTTTGTCACTGTTGTCAAAGTGAACTTTTCACGGTGTTCTGAATTATGTTTATTACAAATTTTTAACTATGCATTGATGTCTTTGCACATACAGTAAAAAAAAGTACATATGATTCAATTTCATTGTAACTCACTAATGCAGCCATCTGTGACAATCTTGTTGCCATCATCACAGTCCTCTCCATTATAAGCCTGAACTATCCCATCTCCACAGAAGCCATCAGGGTCTGGAGGATATTCAATGGATTGGAAGGGTGTTAGCTGAAAATAAAGATAGTCTATTAAATAATTAAATAATTATTATAAAGACATTAAATTCTATATTTACAGTATATACAATAAATGTTACAGCTTCTTAACTGCCAGTTTTTATCATTCACACCACTAAATAAACACTATACTGTCACGGATGTCGTAAAGGACGAACCGTGTAATGGCAGGAGAGCGAAAAAGACCCTATGTGTAGCGGCAAGACGGGGGTTAGCCCGGGCTCAGCTGTTCAGGGAATGCCATATAGAAACCTATGCCCTCAGGTAGCGGACGTGGGGCGTCCTGGTGCTAGGCGGGTCTCAGGACATCCGAACATCAATGTTGAGCGAAGGCAGAATGAAAGACCCAGAAATATATAGCCCCAGAGAGAGAGTAACACCGGAAGGACAGCAAAGAAGCGGAAATGAGAGACAGGACAGAGAAGGAGCACCCTCTGGCTGCAGAGGGCGTAACATATACAAAGTATGGTTATTGCAGAAAACAGTAATTAATGCACATACTGTACCTGAATTGGTAGCCATCCTTCAATGTCTTTGAAGTAAAGCGATCTTTGATCTTTTCGGAATGCCAGTGCATTGTTAGTATTAAGCCTCCCAAGTTCCTCTTCATTATTGACCACAAATATCTAAATACAGACAGCTCGTTATTTGAATAAAGACGTGGTAATTAAAAATATATTATATCTGTTCAATAACTGCCATTAGGAAAAATGCAAACGTGACTGAAGCCTGAGCTACCTGAGCTATAGAAGTAAACTACTGTTTGTGTGTTGGTAAATTTACTTACTGTCTCATTGTTTCCACATTTGAATGGATTAGAGGTTAATATATAAGAGGAAAACTGTAATTTCCAGCTACCACTAACCTGCCTTTTACTTACCCTGTGCCAGTTATTGAACGGGAGAGAATTAAATCAAAATTTTTAAGTTTCACTTATACAAATGGATCTATATATACAGTACACTTAATATACATAGTTAATATTTAGTATACAGAAAAGTATACAGTTCACGAGAAATAAAGCCATCCAAGAATCAGATGCTTTGTGAATGTTTGAGTATTTAAGTATTGTAAGTTTTTGGCTTAACCAGCTTGGTTAAGAGGTAAAGGAACAAGTAAAAGTTTATTCCATGCTGGAAAGAGAAGAAAAGAAACAATGTTTCGACTGTGAAGCCTTCTTCAGGTTTGAAACTTTGTGTTTCTTTTCTTCTCTTCTCAGCATAGGATAAACCTTTACTTGTTCCTTTGGTTAAGAAGTAGCCTACTAGCCATAGAAAGAGGAGGCTCAACCTCTCCTTGAGAGAGACAAGTTGACCAAGGGCTATAGCTCCGAAGGTGGAGGTAGGCTAGATGAGACAAAATGCTAGAAGAGTTGTGTGCAAGAGTTATATACAGTATGTAGCAAATGTCAGTAGTGATTGAAATATAAAACAACTGGATGAGACTGGCAGTACAAGACACACCACTGGCACCCTGGGGTAGTTGACACCAAGTGAGGGCTCCTCATAGGGGGGATTATTCACAGTCACAGGTTGGTTGCAGTAGCACCGCCCTGGGAGACCAGGCACTCCTTTCTCTCCCTTTGGTCCCACCATGAAATGCCCTTTGATAGTATCAATAAAATAAATAAAAAAATCTTGATCATTAAAAAAAAAAGGTCTGACAATATTTGTTAATAATTGAAATCCTAAGAATGTTTCAGCTGCTCATGATGAAGTGTTCTTGAATTCATAAATTGGATTTCAAATAAGATTTCTATTTCAATCTATGTTATATTTCTACTAAGAGTTATCTTTCCATTCCCGAAGGCATTGTTTCATTAAAAGACAAGAAACTTTCCATATGTTGCTATCCTGTTCCTTGATTTTCACTTTAATTGTAACTTCCAAAGCCCAACATTGCTTTCAATTAACTACAGACAATAGTATTATCTATTGTAAATTCTGTCACAAGTGCTTCTAATTAAATTCGAATAAATCTTATTTAATTCTGGCCTAGACTAAGGGTCTAGTATGATATGCAAAAATTAATTTTAAGCTTTTGTTGAGTAGTACAATAAACATGATGAGGCAAAAAGCAAATACTATCTATTCAGACAAATATGTCAGCCAAACATTATGGGTCACAAAAGTAAGTATATTTCTAATTTTCTCTGTTAAAACAATCATTCATGGTGAAGCTTGCAGTCCAATGAATTACACCATGTAATGTGAAGAGGACACGAGCTGTAATTTTAATTGCTTGATGATATACGATGATATTTGCAAGCCTGTGAAGACTTTCTCCTTTCTATTAATCAGTTTAAAGGAGTTATGTCATTACATCAGCATCTCACAGGATCTATCATTTACCTGCTATTGAGTTATCCAAGACCTAGAAAGACTCGGATACCAGTTCCACATCCTGCAAAAGGCAACTTTTGCTAAATCTTTTACTCCAGCATATGTACCAAGTTTAGAATGCATTGTAAAAATACTGTACTCTATTATGATAATATTGTTTAGATCTGTTTTAGTTGCAGGCTCATAATCTGTCTTGCTGAAAGAGTTTTATAGAATTCTACAACTATAACTAACCTCCATAGAATATCTTCATAATACAGCTGCAATAACAACCACTGCCAACGTTCCTGATGGAATGTCAGTTAACGTATCCTTACCTGACCCAGGAAGACCAGGTGGGCCTGGGTAGCCTGTAGGACCAGGAGGCCCTGCAGGCCCAATGGGTCCCAGAGCCCCAGTGTCTCCCTTTGCCCCCTGCAAGAAAGCATAATGCCATGTTATTAATTGAATTGGCTACAGCTAAAATGTGCTGGTGCTCTGTTGGTCCCCACATTTCCTCTTTTATCATATTATTAACATGGAACTTTCGACTGCTAGAATCTATAGTGCCATCAGGGGATGGGATAGCCTAGAAAGATGCTGCTGATAAAGTCAAAGCCTTGATGCTTGAGACTTCTATTGCAGACATTGGTCCACATGTTAGGTAAAAGCTTCAGAAGTAGAATTTTATTTTAGGTGTAAAAGTTTGACGGGGAGTACCACTGACAGTGAAGGGGAGTAGGTGTTAATGTGGTATGGAGGGTATGGAGAACAGTTATTTTTATGTTTTTATTGTGTTTAGAAATTAAACATTAAAATGAGTTGTTAAACAAGGGAGGTTTTGCAAAATATTTTAAATAACTTCAAGCCTTTATAAAACTATACTTACCATACATGCCACATAAGAAATACTATCTGTATTTATTAAATTATTGTATTAATAAAACATTTAGTCAGACCTGCTTTCATAAACCTCAATTACTGTAGCTCTAGTGCTGTGCTCACTTACCAAATGTAATTGTAGTCCAAATTTTTGGCTCTGTGAAACCATTGCTTAATATATAGCAAGGGATGTTGTTTGAAGCTAGAGTCCCCCAAGATTCATTCTTTATATTTTAAGTTGTGTGATAACCTGGTAGTAAGAGATTGTTGACTACAGTATGTGAAAGTCACTGAGATAACTAGTATAATGAGATTGACAATGAGGTAAGAAACTCTTTCATATTTTTGGAGCTTGTTAAAGATGTGCTTTCTAGCTTTTTAATAATAGATCTGATTTAGAAAAAAAAAAACAAAGAAATCCTCAGTTCTATGTCCACTTATTTACATCACCATAACATATTTTATACTTATTATGCAGTTTGCCATTTGTGACTCTTTGAATATTGTTTCAATATTTAACATGACAGTATTCATAAGCCCACAGAAGCCCACAGAAGAGTGGAGCTAGTCCAGTAAACAAGAGTTTCCTCAATATCACTCTTCCCTCAGTGGTCTGTGCCAACCTGTGAAACATGAACTGGCATTAAGCAGAGAGTCAGCCTCTGAAAAAGTCATTTTCACATGTAACCATTTTAGTTTGTGAAAGATTCCATCATGTCATCATGCAAATCACATTATTTTATTTGATTGTCACAAATTCTGTATTGTACAGTGGTCCTCCCAAACACCCCATGAAAGATGGCTGGTTTAACTTAAAAGAAGAAAGTTAAATACAGAAGGCAATGGGTTAAAAAGGAGAGCTATAGAGGGATTAACAATTATCAAGCTTAGTCTTAAAATGGAAGAGGAACTGGAAGTGAAGTGTCCTTACTAAATTAGCTAAAGGTCTTGGTGCCATGCTTTACATGGCCGAGCAGTATTACATGAGAGTATAAAACAGATGTGGGTACAGGAAATAGACTACTGTGAGAAGAGCTACTGTATGTACTCTCACAAAACTATTTCCTAGGCAGACACAAAAAATAAATGGGGTGGGAACTGCATGATACTCTTGTAAATTTCATAATTATTTTTATAAAGTATATATTTAAATACCTTTCTAAAACACCATCATTAATACAAACTAGTTATATAAAACAGCGTGATTAATTCTGTATTTACAGACATAATTGTATTATCAGAAGCCCAACAACACAGTAGTATGCTTTCAATTCCAATAGATTCATGTAACTCCAAATGTTGTACATCTACAAAATAAGGCTGTTAAGGTTTACTTAGTATGTACTAATGGTTCATAATGGTTGTGTGTTATAATCCATCCTTCCATACATTTTCTGACTGCTCTCTTAGCAAGCAACAGGTATAAGGCTGGATACACCGTTGACTGCATACCAGTCCTTTGCAGAGCACACACAGACATGAATGCAGTCACACTAGGGTCAATTTTTACAGAAGCCAATTAATTTATGAGTATGTCTTTGGACTGTGGGAGAAAACCAAAGCTCAAAGTGGAAACCCACACAAACACTGGGAAAACATACAACCTCCACACATATAACAGCCTGGGAATTGAACTCAGGGCCCAAGCACTGCAAGACAGCAATGCTAGTCACTGTGCCACTATACTGCCCAGCTATGTTTTATAACCTGTTTCAATATTTGTATAATATGTTATAATACTATAACTATTCGTTAAGAACTTGATTAAATTAATTTGGATAAATTGGGATACATTTCAAGATTGTAAAATACATAGATTCTTTGCCATAAATGTTGACACTATTACAATTTTGGCAGGGCAGTTTTAAATGATCAGTTTGCAAAGAATGGAATGTCTTTCCCCTTATTGGACATTTGCTCACCAAGGAACCTGGGCAGAAAACTAATCATTTACAAGTATCTAATGGATAGCTCACAAGCCCTTGTGCAACTGTAAACAGGTATCATTTTCATGCTAAATATGTGGCAGTGCTGCAGCTGCTGAGCATGTGGTCATAGACTAAAAAAACACCACAGAAAATTAGAAGAATCAATTATACTATCAACAGAAATCTATAAGCAAACTGTTTTAATAACAGCAGTTCTAAATCACTTTTCATTATTAATTCTAATAATATATTTCTGCAGGTTACAAAGAGTTAAAACATAGTAAGGCTCGACTGATGTCCTGTTGGTAACTGCAGCGCTACATAATTAACTTGAGTACTTTATGCAGCATTCAGTTATGCTGGCCAACACTCCATGACTATATATAAATACATCAACTATGAGATAGTGTTTCCATATTTTTAGTAGATAGAGATGTCATTTCTTTGATGAGGTAACTGTCTCGTTTAACTGGGAAACCACAGTCTATGCAAAGAAAACTCCCAGGAGCATTTGTTTCCATTCTGGCCCAAGAGCAAGATGGATTTTACATGAAGAAACAGGGTCGTCTGAGTTTTTCTTTTCCAAAAAATAAGATATTAATTATCTGTTATTTTCAAGAATAAAAAAAAATATTTTGAAATAAACCTTGATGTACTCTCTAGATCTTAAATTTATTGTAATGTTTAAATGTAATTACTGTTACATTTCTGTTATAATTACGATTTTTGATTAAACTACTTTTATTAAATTAAAAGATGGAAGGAAAACATATGCATGTGTATGCTTTCTGCCTGTTGGTTCTTTCCATATAATGTTTTTATTCTGAAGTTTCTTGTGTTGAAGAGATTAATACAATTACACCTGTTCTAATTACCACACTCTTCTGAATGAGTGAAAAGCTTTGTCTGCACAATTCCAAAACCCAGTTTTAAAATATCCTTTTGTACCTTTATCAAATTAAAACACCTCTAACAGAAGTTAATACTTTCTTTTTCACTGCTGACTATTTGAAACCCCAGGTCTTTTTTCTTGGTTTCAGGCTGTTTTCACTCACCTGCTTGCCCCTCTTGCCCGGCCGGCCAGTGGGTCCACGGTGCCCTGATACTCCAGGCTCCCCTTTTGGACCCATTTCTCCCTGAAACCCAAAGTAAACGTCAGTTGCACTCTTCATCAGACAGGCAGGCAGGGTGCATACAAGAATGAGAACCACTAATAAACCAAGCTAAGACTGTAATGAATGGAAACATGTTTTCTTTTGGAATGGATTACGCATTCACCTCATGCCAACTAGAGCCATGATGTAGAAATTCAGAACTTATTATTATGAATACTAATACATATTATCATTAGTAGTGCTACTATTTACTGACCTTTTGTCCCAACATTCCAGGGAGACCCATATTCCCCTAGAAAAACAGAGACGAATGAGGAGCCATCCATCTTTTTGTAATGTTTAAGCAGAATCTTTCACTTTTTTAACATATATTCCATTGCTGACCTTTTTTATTTCCACCTGGTCTGAAATCTGTTAAAAATATTTTCATATAGAGTGATGAAATTTGATCAAATAAGTACACCATACTCAAAGAGTTCTGTGATATGCTCTGCTCTTAGCTCTGAGTGAGGTACAGTAAGTGACCCTAGGTCCTCACAATGTAAGTGGAAGAAGCATCGGATGTGAGGGAGAAGAAACTCTCCTGAGAAGGTGAGCAGTGTGTATATTAATTGACAGGAAATATTTCCTAAATCTATGTTTTTTGTGCCAGATTAAAATATGAAACGTAAGAGCATCTTGTCGGTTTCTGAAGGGGATGCCAGAATATAATTCAGTATTGTATATTAAACACTGCTTCATTGCAGTAATGTCATACAGTAATTTAGTAATACAGGGCGGACTACTAGAACAATGTCCAGTGTTTGGGATAAATAATTGTTCACTGTAATTATCCATGTGGGTCTTCTCACAATTTAATTGTGTTTTCTGTCGTAATCTGTAGGCGTTCAATTCTAATCCTTATCCATTACCATTAGCCTTTTAGTCCTGTGATTAATGTAAATGCAAGTCAAAGCAAGTCCTTTGCAAGTCCTTCAGAGAACGTTTTTTTCTGAGCAACAAAAGGCAGTCATAGACTTCATCTACTTTATAATTCAACAAGGAGAAGTATAAGTAGTCTAAAGAAGTACCTTCCATTATACACATTTCTGACAAAGATGAACTGATGAGCAATAATCTGCTTAGCAAAACAGAAATAATTGGTTATACAAATAATACATTATTAAAACATACAGTGCAGGATGCTGGTGGGAGATAAAACCAAACCATTAGGACTGAAGTACTACATACTGCATGCACAGTAAGTCTGAAGTATTTACTATACTGAGAAAACAAAAGAATTCCAAAGTAGAAGGGCTGTCTGTAAAACATATCTCCATTGTGAATTTTACACTACCTTTTCTCCTTTCAGTCCTTGTTCTCCCTCATCACCTCTGGAACCCTAAGAAGAACAGCAGGTAATTTCAATATCAAATCAATATCAAACAGACATTGATTTCTAGAATTTCTTATATGAATTTTTGGAATAAATAGCAAATAAATATGCATATATGCACCATATTGTATCATGCAGGGTTACTGAATATGATCTGTTCACATTAGGAATCATGCTATTGAAGTTTGTATATATCATAGAGATACCTGTAAATCTCTATAAAGAAGAAACATGACATATAAAACCTTTCTCCAGGATGGACATATAGTATAAAGTCTATTTACAGAGGGAGATTTAAGCAAACAGAGTATAACATTTTAAGTGCCAAACATTATGTATGGAGGATTAAAACTAAAAACAATTAATTACCTTTTCTCCTTTGTATCCAGGCATGCCCTTGAAAGCAACAGAAAGATGCAGTATTTATTGATTAAATCTCTTTTGTGGGGTCGACTGTAACTGTAACAATCTTTAATGCTGGTATTACCTACTCACACACATGAGACCGTAAACCTAGAGAAGCAAGGCAAATGCCATCATAAATTGTGATACTAAAGACTAAATTGTGTTTTGGCACACATAAAATATATAAACAGAATACATCTCTTTACTCTGGGTCATTTCACTACAGATTCTAAACACAAAGCAGCAAAAGAGGTGATGTGGTGGCACTGTGGCTAAGGATCTGTGCCTGTGGCTGGAAGGTTGCCGGTTCAAATCCTGTAGCTAGTAGAGGACTCCTACTCCATTGGGCCCCTGAGCAAGGCCCTTAATCCCAGCTGCTCCAGGGGTGCTGTATAAATAGCTAACCCTGTGCTCTGAAGTGATAAGGTCACTTTATTGCCATATATAATTTCTTGCATTAGGAATTTGTCTTTTTTCACAACTTGCTCTCCATGAGACACACAGACAGAGAAGCTTGGGGTCAGAACACAAGGTCAGCCATTGTACAGCACCCCTGGAGCAGCTGGGGTTAAGGGCCTTGCTCAGGGGCCCAATAGAGTAGGATTTCTCTGCCAGCTCCAGGATTTGAACCGGCAACCTTCCAGCCACAGGCACAGATCCTTAGCCACAGAGCCACCACACCACCCTCTTTTTTTTAATATATACAATAAGAAATTGTATATGGCCAATAAAGCGATCTCTTATCTTATAATAAATGTTGATTCCTGTTAGTGGTTGCACAAACCAGAGCCTGTCCTAGAAGCGAACGGTGCAGACAGGACTACACCATGAATGAGATGTTACTCTTTTGCAGGACACAATATTGAGCTATGAATTATTCTAAAGAAGCTATTGGGTTATGTAGTACAACAGCAACCTACAATTAATACTTAATTAAATCTCTTTGATAATGCTGCAGAACACAGAACTACTGCTTGTGGTCAGCTCTGTGCAGGTATTATTTCAATGATGGAGAGGAAGATGGCAGACAGCTGCCCTTGCTTTGCTCTAATATGGAGGTGTGTGTTTAAAGCCAACAGCTGCACTAACAGACCTTGGGGCCCATTGGTCCTCTTGCACCTGGCAGTCCCATTAAACCCGGGTCTCCCTTCTCACCCTGTGATGTTGAAAATAAAGTCCTGACTTAGCATAGAGAAAACCCTGCAGATGTATACAGTACATAGATTTAATTGAGAAATTACTTTTGTCCTGAATAAGGGAAAAACAACAACAGTTTAACAAAATCTCATATTTAGCATATGATTTTATAAAAAAATATTAGTCGAAGAGTAATACCACAGCCTGTATAATAAGAGGAAGTTTATAAAACTTAATCCACTTAATCCAATAGGATTTTGATATAAAGTAGTGGCATTGACAAAGTCAACCTAGTAGAATTCTTTAGAATCAACAGAGGACTGGTGGATGTGCATTTAAATATGAGAAAACAACAGGAAATTGGATAGCTGCACATATTATTTTGTGATACAGAACTATGGCATTACTTTGTTCTTAAGGCTACAGTCAAACTTCCTTTGGGTTCTAAATAGAAAAACAAAGGCAGGATACTATGGCCATTATATGTTTTGTTAATATAAATGTGTAGGCATCTGTGAATCACTGAACAAAGAGCTTGTTAAATTATGGCAGGTGAAAAAAGAAGAATTTAAAATAAAATAACTTCTAAAAAGTCCAAATAAAATAACTTTTAAAAAGTTATATTTTCAACATGACTTTCTTAAGACTTTGATTAACCAAAAATATAAATGGATCTTAATTGGTACAATTTATCTGGCAAAAAAGAGATTCATATTGTTAATATTGCAAAGGAACAAGTAATAGGTTTATTCCATGCTGAAAAAAAGAAGAAAGAGAACACAACGTTTCGGCCGTGGAGCCTTCTTCAGGTTGTTAATATTGCTATTGTCACATTGTTTTAAGATAGACTTTCAGTTTAAAATTATCTGTATTAGAAAGAAGAACTTACTCACTTTGGGCCCATTTGGTCCAGGCCAACCAGCTGGCCCTTGGTGGCCTGGGAGACCAGGGGGACCTGGCCGACCCTGGAATGACAAAACAAAGAGGACCATGACAGGAGTGGTGTTTTTATATGTAATATTAGCTGTTGTAATTGGAAAGGAAATCAACCTTTCAATACCTAATAAAATGTTTTATTTTAAAAACAAATTTACTGAGCTATCTTTCATGTCAAGATATTAAGGACAACAATCAAAGAGGATCACAAGTGAACAATTTTTCTAGAGATATAAAAACATAAACATCTTTCTTTGTAGATGGCTTCAAATAATGGTAAATAGTTACATAAACACAACAAATGAGCTTCAACAATTTCTACATGCAACTGTGAAGACTATAATGCAACAAAAGATACATTGATACAGTACCTTTGCTAAATATGCCTCAACAACATACAGTATCTAAAGTGCAGAACTATAGAGAAAAAAGATAAATGGGTCTTAATACGGTCAGGCTGCAATTTAAAAAAGAATGATGGTGTGTAAAAGCAACATGACCCAGTATTAGCTGTAGAAATACAATGATTTATGATATTTCGTGTACATTTAGCAAAATTAAACCACATTGCTCTGAGTACAGTATTGAAGAAAAGACAAAATAGAATATGTCTTTAGAATATAACTCAATTCTTTTCCAGATTTAATATGTAGCCCTGGCATTCTGGTATGGTACCCTCACTTTAGATGATAAAAGCTGATAGCACAGAAAGGGAGCTCTTTACGACTCAGTGTTCATCAGTGTTCAGTGCTCTGGATACAAAATCTAGTGCTATCTTCACACTGAAGGCTGAACTTGTTTAGAATTTCACAATGCTGAGCAGTCTCAGATAGAACCCAAGAAGTGTACTCATGTTTAAAGCAATTTTTACTTACAGAAAAAGAAAATTGAATTATTTATGGTGGCTCTTACCTTTGCTCCAGGTCTACCAATTTCTCCCTTGCCGCAGAAGACAAAAAACAGGGCATTTATTTTCTTAGACAGTTTTAGTTTGTTTACTTAGGTGCAAGAAACTGTTTTCTTAAACATTCTATAATTGAATAGAGAACATTGTTGGTTTATTATACTGTTACTTTACTCCTTACTACAGCAATTTTTGTAGCATGAAAAATAGTCTACATCTACAGTATAAAATACAGAGAAAGTCCCATTAATAAATTCAAGGGATACTTGATGAGAACATTACTGCTGTTTCAAGGATAAAACAATCACTGTTCCCCTTTTTTCTTTATCATGCAATAAAGAGATATGTACCATTTTCCTTAGCTTCCATCCCTGACATTTAATACACCCATAGGCATATTTAAGTTTTTTTAGACATCCTGTCAAAAATACAAATAGCAGGATGCAATAATTTACTATAGATAAAAAGGGGATTGAATTCCAGATTATATACTGTAATAGAACTACAAAGCATGAAAAAAATATGAAGTCTTTTTAGGTTTTTAAAACCTTAACATACAATGGGATTCCTTAACCTGTATGAGTTACCAGTGGGTCAAGGTACTGTGAATTTGTTGTTCACTGTTTGAAATGAAAGAAAATATCCTTCTCAACTGACATGTTAATACTGAACAAAGACATACAAGGAAACACTTAGATTCTATGATGTCTAAAAGGTAGGTTAATGCTTCTGGATTCTATTGAAATATTTTTACAAAACATTCAGATTTCATTGGATTAAAACTTCATAGATTTAAACAATGAAACTGTAATGTGCCACTCAATAATTTGTACATGAAATATTTTAAAAAGAAAAGAAACTGACCTTTTCTCCCTTTGGTCCCATTAAACCTGGAATTCCATTTGGACCCTTAGAGAAAACCACATCTCATTTACATGTTCTTCAATCATGATCTACTTTCAATCATGTTCAATCATGATCTACAGAATGCTGTTCAATAGATCAAGTTCCCCATTAAAGCAATTAAAAATTGATTATTTTTCAAAATGTTTACAAATTTTATTTATGTACAATACATACAAAGAAATAGAGTATATGCATTTCTATTTGTACATCAGTTTTGACTTCTTGTTTTCAGTTTAGCTTTCGGTATAATCAGAAGTACCAGTACCTTTTCCCATTTTACTAATCAGTTCGAATCCAGCCTAGACTCAAACCAAAATTCACATATTAGCATAGTCACAAATATCACTTGTGAAATATTTAAACCCCATTCAACATTTTTCAATAATAAAATTATTGACATCTTGTATTTACCAGCCTGTGACCCTGAATTGGATAAAGTATTTAGAAAATAGATTGATGTATTTATCAGAAAAAAATCCAAGGATGATTATACATTTTGGCTTTTGATTTCCTGAAACATTGCACTCCTAACTTAGGAATACATTTTGTTGAAAGACACTTGAAGTATTTAAAATTTAGTAGAAGAGCTGTTCAGTTTATAAATTTCCCAGATTAAAAATAACTATACTGCACATGTTATATACTGTATATCCTATACTGTATATGCTTACTACATAACAAGTTTAAAGATGGTTTGATTGGTTAGAATTCTTGTCTTTTTTCAAATAACATAAAAAAACAAGCAATAAAAGACTGACAGCATTTTTTTTCAATTCAGATCATGTTCATCAGATCTTGATCTCTACATGTAACCAGCTATCATATGTCAAGTAAGATGGATTCATTGATGGTGAGTTCAAAACAAACTAAACAAAAACACATCCAGCAAACAGGTAAAAGTGACAGTATTTCAGAGAATAGGTTTCTAGTGCTGCACTAGACAGTGGAAAGAGGCTATTTATGTCTCTTCTATGTAGTATGTTAACAGGACTCCTACTGTATGATCCATAGTTCAAGAGACTAGCTAAACTAGTTCAGAGCTAATAAGACTGTCCATTTATAGAAAAAAATCAAGATTAAAGCTAACATATTATCCAGGAATAAATACAAATCTTCATAAAGCCATATACGTAATTATTTTCCTGGACTTGGATGGTTGTAAAAAAATCACTTGCTAATTTATTAATTTATTAATCACTTGCTAATTTCCAGCATGACTGTTTTCTTTCTAATACTACTTAATAATTACTTGTATTTGTATAATGCTTGTCAACCTAAAGGATTCCATAGCACTTCATGTTTAGGAGGAGAGCTATTCCATACACTACTGAACTGCAGCACGCACCTGGGATACAAGTGAGAGCCCAAGTACTTCAGAAGCTTCATTACATAGCAAATGAGGTGGAGAAATTAAAAATTACTTCAAACAGTTTAATTAAGGAGGGACTTTAGTTTGGCTACAAGGAGCAAGCATGACGTGGAATTTATCCAAAACACCTGGGTGCTAACACCCCCACTTCAACAAACTGTGCAATGGGATCTTTAAACATCAAGTAGTCAGGACTTTGGTTTATTGTTACAGGGCTGGATTTAAGCCATAGTGGGCCATGTGAACTCCAGTCCCCTGACAGCTGTTCACTGACAGAAGGTTCCTAATGGAACAAGGCCTAGGGAAAGACTCCTACTGTACCTGTGGTCCAGGAGGGCCAGAAGGGCCAGGAGGGCCTGGCACACATGTGGGCAGAGTGGGCTTTTCCCCTCCATCTTCATTGTTATTTACTTTCTCGTTCTAAAAAAATATTGAGGTTAACAGTAAAAAAAGAGATACAAAAAGGGAACTGCTAATCCATGGCACAGAGTAATCCAGAAAGAACTGATGAATATGTGATTAATATTTATGTTATATTTATTGTATATGTAAATTTATTAAATGGAAAAGTTAAAATATTGTTTTATTTTTTGTTTTCTGTATGGAACAACTCTTTCATCTATGCCTATAATCCAAATCACATGCATGGTATTTATGTTGGTACCATGTCCAAGATTTCTATGATGACTGATATCCAAGTTATGGATGTTTGATCTTATGGGCATGTACCAACAAAATCCCTACAAATTAACAGTTTTTTACAACTCTGTATAATTTAATTGTGACCATTAAAAGTGTAATCCCTGAAGACATATTACTGTACATTGTATGATTTTCATATTTTGTAAAATTCTAAAAAAGTTAGTACATTTCATTTCCTAAGTATATACTAACCAGGATAAAAGAATTAAACAAGTGTACTTCAAGTGGACTTACACTTTACTGCTATATGGGTCCTTAAAATATTTTTAAAGCCTGGCTCAGGAAAAGTCAATGCACATTACTTTTAAAACGTTCAGAAATGCTTAACTATCAATGTAGAATCTACAGTTCCCTTAGATGACTAGACATTTGTGTTAATCTTTATAATTAAATTGATGCATCTCTTTAATGAGGTTATCTGGCTGTAATAAGAACAATACTCTTGCCAGGGAATATCAAGAAACAATTATTCAGTGCAACTGAAATGCTGTTCTTACAATATATGAAACAGAGTTAACTAGGGATCACATTGTTTTTGGAGAAATATCAAGTATTACTCACATGACTCTTGTGTTCTCTGAGCAGAGGGGGAGGGGGGAACAGCGGTGGAGGTGGTGGAGTTAAGAGACAGCATATATTGAGTTTCTTTTTGTGATCCAGAGATTTCAGGGCTAGATCAAGTGAACAAGTACACACAGACACACAGAGAGGGATATTCTAAGCCATTTCCTAGCACAAAAATAGGCTACCAGAAATAACATGCCTGGAACTTGAAAAATGCTTAAGTTGATACAGTATAAGAGTTTTGATCCTAAGTGTTCAAAGAAGCTATTCACTCTTCAGAAAATATTTTTAGATTATTTAATGCATTAATACTTAGAAATATGGTTGAGAACTATAAACTTTGTTGTTCATATGTGGGTATGTATATCACAAACAAAGTGTTTGTAACCTAAATGAAATCTGAGAGGATTGGTGATGGTGACAAAGATAAAATTGTTAAAAATAACAATAGTGAAGTGGTTCTTGTTTGTACCACTTGCATCTGGCTACAAGACTATCCAGTTTGTATTTTGTATATTGTATTGGGAAACTGTTACCAAGGCATATTGTACACAGTACACAGAAGATAGATACATTAAAATGATCCCACTTCCAAATGAAAACAAATAAACACCAGTCAAGAAGAGTATAGCTATATATATTTACAAACTTTTTTAATATTTGTCTGTTCCTTAAATAAGACTTTATATTTGATATATACATTCAAATCTACATTTCCACACAGGTTACAACATCAGTTTTTCTGTGTCTACATTAAAAAAATCTATTCCAAACAATTGGAACAAAACCTTGTAAAGATGATGGTCCTTTTAATATTTTGAGATTTTAAAAAAGATCAAATACTATTGGTTCCAGCACTCTAATACAATACTTCCAATGTTATATTTTTAATGCTTCTTAGTGTGTATATAGGGACATAATCTGAGCTCCTCATAAATTTACAAAATGAGAAATTGCTGTTATTTTATTTTATGATGGTGTCAATGAAGCTAAACTAAGTTGGTGTTTTACTAGAACGATATTATTCAATGCCTCATGGTTTTGAACAAATTGTTAACATTTGGTTCCTACTGTAATATCTTGTAATATTGTGAAGCCTTCATAAATAGCAGAATAGTAGAAAAAAATAATGCATTCCAGTTTTTCATAAACAATAACAATCAATTGCTAATAAGCAATGTTCTGTTTCAGCTACCTGGCAAATTAATGTTGAGAGTGCATATGCTTTATTTTGCTCATTTACATTTGTACCATTTATTTGAAAATTAATGAGGCCAACATGACATATATTGCAGGATCAATCTCAAATAAAAAATATTTTACAATGCAATAGTTATTTTATTTTTAATGCATACTATTTGCAAGAGAAGGAAACTAGTTTATGAAACATGCACAAGTTTTAAGCAAATTTAAAACACATGATACGTGATAGTGGCATCTAAAGAAGGGAAATGTTTTTATGAATAAATTCAGGCAAAATTCTCAACTGTTCATATGGGTGTAAAGGTCGTGGAAAGACTACTAAGCCAGTGCAACTGTTAGCTCTGCAGTCAGCACTAGATATTAGAGGTTTTTCCATGCACAGGACCAATGAATGCTATAAAAGTCATCTGAGTATCTGCTAGTGACATATCTAAAGCCAGCTGATGTTTACTCTCCTAACATCCGAGTGGAGTCCTATAGCACTTTGGGGGTTGTGTTGTGGGTGACAGTGGAGGGGGTGGAAAGAGAGGTTATATATAGAAACATTTACATTTGGATCACTCTCTCTGCCCATCTTTATACTAGAACAGAAAGGAACATACAGAATGGCAAACAATTCACTTGTTGTGACAAGCTCAGTCTTTAAGAAGTTAATGAAAGCATGCAACACCTTCTGTTGCAAGTCTCAAAGACAGGCTAATCTTAACTCTTGGAGTACAGTGCATGATAAGCCCTGTAAACATTATTGTGAATACCGGATATTGCTGTGCTGTTTAACATTAGCCTAGGCATTTTTTACATAGCTCAATAGCATGTAGAACAGAATGGAGGGAAAGTGCAGTATTTACCTGCCGGAAAGGAAAGAATGTTGTCCATGAAGGAAGACTGAGATAGCACATAGCAGAAAAAAAGCTGGAACTGAAATCCAACTGCGATCAGGACCATGCTGCTTGGAGATACTCAGCAAATGAAACTCGTGGCTCTGGTGCTGGCTTTGGGATTTCTCTCTCCCTCCCTCTCTTCTCTCCCTTGCTTTTCGTTCTCTCTCACTCTCTCACTCTCAATATCCCCCTGCCTTTAGGAAAAAGGAATGCCAACCATTTCCCATTAAATCTTTTCCTTGCACCAGACAGAGCTATATTTAAACCAGCCAACAGATCAGATCCCCCAACGTGAATATCAGATACTGTCACTATAAAATAGAGGCTCTTTTGTAATATACTGTACAGTACATATAATCATATAAAGACTTTATAACAATGGCCAGTGAAATTTACACTAAGCTTTATTTGTTAAAAATACAAATTTTCTATATTAAAAATGTCATTTAGTTAAAAAACTCAATGTGAAAACCACAGTTTTGAATGTATATATATTCAGTAAACTGTTTTTTGTATTCCCAACCATTATTAAAACATTTTCATTCTAAAAACACTTCAGATACCAAAGAACTTTAAAATACATTTGGACACTGTTGATAAGATATGTTTAGAAATGAACCTGTTTCATTGTTTCTTTTTTCTTTTACTAAAATACATTTTAAAAGTTAAATTGTAAAACTACATACAATAAAGTTTAACTGATAACAAAATGTAACATTTTAACAGCCTATACAGTATAAAATATTTCAAAAGCATTTTAATATCACATTACATGACTTTAAAAAACACATTCAAAGGTTAATTGAACAATTAGAAAGAACTCTTTTTTTCGTACCTGTTTAAAAATAATGTCAGGTCCAAGAAACGATGTGCTTTGAATCCTAGTTAATGAAGACACTGAAGCAAAGCTATTACTGAAATCTGCTCTCAAAAGATTCGCAGCTACATCACAGCTCCACTGAGAAGAGCTATTGATCAGTTCTGGAATTTATTAACCTCTCCCTTTCACCCCATAATTAATCACAATGCAATTAAAGAGAGGGCCCACATGACTTTTGCTTATTGAGCCTGCATTGCTTGACACACTAAAGAACTGAGGAGTAAAATTAATCTCATAATTAATAATAATAAGGATGATCAGCACCAGCAATAATTATTAGGGAGGCATAGAAACAGTGGATATTTTGTTTTGCTCTGGTGGTTGCTTTTGTATCAGTTAAATCTGAAGCTAGTAATGTAGCTAATAGGAGATTGTATTGTGTTTTAAAAGAAAGAATTGTAATGAAAACAGATTGTCATAGGTACTGTATCTATATAGTGCACAGAATGGATTTTTTTATGGTGAGGTACTGTAGCTCTCTTCAGAAATGCTAAACATGTTAAATATTAATCTCCAATAAGTAAATCCCCACTTTATCAGCTGAACTGATGCATAATACATTTCATGAAAAACCAAGGCTGCATCTGATTGGCTGCTGCAATCATTTTCCTTACTGCAATAGGTCATAAATTGCTTGGTAAGACACAGCCTTTTACATAAACTACTCCTGTTCAATTAATGTAGCCTGTTTAGCCAATTAATTCTAGTGACAATATAGACAATACAGATAACATGGGAAATTGGGGTCACAGCAAAAACTGCAACTACTACTGATTGCTATTTTATTGGCAAAACTCAAACTGACATTACCTTGAGAATCTTCTAACATTTTTTGTCCAATGAACTCGAAAATTGGTAGGTAATATTCTAGGTGTCAGGTAGTTTATTTGTATTTCAAGTATGTTACTGTAAATGGGAAGTGCAATACTATTTTTATATTCCAGCGTTAGAAAGAATCACCATTGATGAGTGCATTTCAAACCACAAGAAAAGTAACCACAAGTACACACTAACTCACAATACCTCCAATTTACATCACAAAATAGATTGAATTTCCAGGTACTGTATGTGCAGCACCATAATGTGCAATTTAGAAAAAGTCAACAAAACATCTGGTGATGTGAAATGATCCTATTACATTGTAAACAAGCAGGCTTGTGAATACATGTCGTACAATATATGTTGGAACATTTCTGTGGTAATATGTCTGCTGCAGAACCTGTTCTTATGCGCTCTGACTGTACATCGCATTACATTTGTCATTGCAGTAACTATCATCGCACATCAACAACAAATCGCAATTCACGCAAACTCTCACTCTCACCTGTGGTCTGACCAGTTAACTATTTTGTGCTTAATTCAAAATTAGTACATTTTTTGTATGCCATCAATTTACAGATGTGAGAAAAAGTTTGTGAATCCTTAGGAATTATTTGGATTTCTGCATGAATGGCTCTTAAAATGTGATCTGATCTTCATCTAAGTCATAATAATAAATACAGTCTTATTTAACAAACAACACACACAACATTTTACATTGCCATATCTTTATTGAACAGATGGTTTAAACAATCAAGGTCATTGATGGAAAAAGTATGTGAACCCTTATATTTAGTATCTAGTGGAACCTCCTTTATTGGCAGTAACCTCAACCTAACGTTTTCTGTAGCTGCTGATCAGACCTGTGCACCAGTTAGGAGGTATTTTGGCCCATTCCTCTAAACAAAACTGATCAAGTTCATTTATATTTTTGGGATGTCTTGCCTGAACGGCCTGCTTCAGATGACGCCACAGCATTTCAATGGGATTGAGGTCAGGACTCTCACTTTCTAAAGTCAGGCCATTCTAAAATACGGAATTTCTTCTGTTTGAGCCACTCTGTTGTTGATTTACTCCTGTGTTTTGGATCATTGTCATGTTCCATGACCCAACTTCTTTTGAGTTTTAGATCACAGACAGACACCCTGACATTCTGCTGTAGCATTTCCTGTTACAACTTGGAATTCATTGTTCCCTCAATGATTGCAAGCCATCCAGGCCCTGATGGAGCAAATCAGCAGCACACCATTATACTTACTCCACCAAGTATCACAGCTGGGATGAGGTTTTGGTGTTGGTATGCAGTGTTTTTTCTCCAAATATAATGCTGTGTACATTTAGCAAAAGGTTAAATTTTGTCTCATCTGTCCATAGATTATTGTTCCAGTAGTGCTGTGAAACATCCGGGTGGTCTTTAGCAAACTTGAAACAGGCAGCAATGTTTTTTTTTAGAGAGCAGTGGTTTCCTCCGTGGCAACCTCCCATGATCACCACTCTTGTTCAGTGTTTTTATTATGGTAAACTCATGAACACATACGTTATCAAGTGCAAGATCCTTAGCTGTCAACCTAGGGTTCTTTGTCACCTGTTTGAGGATTGTGCGGAGTGCCCTTGCACTGATCTTTGTAGGATGTCCACTCCTAGGGAGAGTAGCAATGGTGCTAAATTTCTTCCATTTGTAAACTACTGTATCTGCCTGACTATGTACTGATGGCGGCCCAAGTCTTTAGAAATCCTTTTGTAACCCTTTTGTCACTATCGTCATCCCTTCTCTAGAGGGCGCTCCGTCCCTTTTTTTATTTTAGTTTCATTATTACATTCACCTGCCCCTTGTTCCCCATGTATTATTTAAATCCCGTGCCTCCTAAGCTCTGCGCTCACCATTGGAAGGTAAACGCACGGAAGCCCAGGTGTGTTTTCCCTGTTGTCCTTCTCCAGTCATTTCCGGATTATACCATCCGCATAGGGTCCTAAACAACACACTTTACGGGAGTCAGGACCGGCTCCCGTGACACCTTTCCAGTCTTTTGAGCTTCAAGAACTCTTCTTCTGAGGTCATCTGAAATCTCTTCTGATCAGACCATATCGCACTTCAACAGAATTCTGTTGTGAAGAACAGGTAACCAAAATTGTGTGATTTTTTTATAATGCAGGCCAGGTCAAACCCACACCTGAGTTGATTGGAACACCTAACTCATTGATTGGAATACCTGACTCTAATTACCCTCTTTTCAAGATGTTATTATCCTGAAGGTTCACATACTGTTCTTTTCCAATCAATGATCTTGATTGTTTAAACCATTTGTTCAATAAAGATATGACAATGTAAAATGTTGTGTGTGTTGTTTGTTAAATAAGACTGTCTATTTATTATTATGATTTAGATGAAGATCAGATGAAGATATACATCCAGATAATTCCAAAGGGTTCCCAAACCTTTTCTCACAGCTGTATTTTGTTATCAAGATTCAATAACCAGTCTTAGAAACTGGGATTACAGTTCCTCTTTAAGTAAATGTGCTTGGAAATCTTCAAAACTGCAATTTATTAGGCTGCAATTTGAATTGGCTTTATCCAAAGCAATTTACTTTGTATGCTTTTATGTAGCTGCACATTGTATTCAAGCAAGTTAGATGAAGTACCTTACAACAGCAGAGCTCCATCTGGGAATTTAACCTTCTACCACCATTACTACAAATTTAATACAGTTTATTTTAGAAAATGTTATTTAGAATTTGTTTCCATTTACTAACCACTTAAAACGATGATTCATAAGAGATATAAAATTGTTTTATGACATGTATGCAGACACTGTGAGATGCTATTGTCAGCAAGAATGTAGTGTGTCATTTGCAGGATGAAGCAAAAGTGAGTCTGGAGTGCATAATGTACTAAAAACATCTTCAAATGCTCTTATATATGCCTTCCAAAATCTAAAGAATATCCATTCATGCTCTAACTGCTTTATCCAATACAGGCTCACAGGGGAGTCAGAACCTATCCTGGCAAACAATGGGTGTAAGACAGGATAAACCATGGGTGGGATGCCAGTCCATGGCAGGGCATACACACTCACACCAGGGCAAATTTTCCCAGAATCCAATTAACCTACCAGTATGTCTTTGGACTGTGCCTTTGGAAACTGGAGCACCCAGAGGAAACTCACAAGAGAACATAAAAACTCAATGCAGATAGCACCTCGGGAATTGAACTCATAAATCAGGGGAAAGTTCTCCAAAAAGTATGATGTCATATAGCGCAAGAATAACGTGGTATTGAAGTGTAATATTCTGCTTTGGCAGAAAACCCGTCTGTTGGCACAGTGGTCTGTATGGAGAGAGGTGCTGTGCATAGTATGCTCTGAACCTCTGGGAGACCATGATCAAATCCAGACAGATCAACAACTCTCACGTTGGTCCTGTGACTCAGTTTAACAACAATGAGATTCTTACTCCATTTT